ACTTGGGTCTGACTGCTCAAATAGTATTTCTGTGGCTATGAATAGCTCTATATTAACAGAAGTTTGGGGAAAGTATTTTAGGGAAATGTATGCTAGCTCTGAACCCGAATAAGTTGGCCTTGATAGCATGGAAAATTTGCCAAGCTGACCACCAGTTGAGCCCACAGAGGTGAGGAACCTTATCCAAACCCTAAAACCTGGTAAAGCACCAATCATTGACTTAATCCCTCCTGAATTAATAAAGAAGACCTCGGAATGGTGGGTGCCAATATTAACATCCTTATTTACGCCACTTGACAAGACCAGAAGTATAAATAGGATTTAATGGCTTAGGAAGGTGAAATATGTTTCTCTTCTTGTTACCCTTCAGAGTAGCTGCTTGAATATAAATAAGACCTTTCCAGCAAGCTGATGTCAAGAGCTGATTCAAATGGTCATTTCCTCAATGAAAAGGATATTGAGCAGTTAACTAATCACTCCTGCTTCTTAAGCCACACTGGCATATGGCTGCCTGGTAGGCATGTGAAGCCATTAATGAAAAGAAGTTCTACACTGATTTCTATGTGAGTTAGCTACATAAAAGCTAGTTGCAATTAATAGTAGTTCTAGAAATCAGCCGAAGGCAGGTTTCTAAAAATATATAAAATGTGTATTTTATTGTCATATTGATTTTGTGAAACTTAAAATTTTACCTGGTACGGTTACTATGTAACTCCCTGGAAGAAGGATAGGATAAAAACATAATAAGTAGATATTTTAAGATTAGCCTCTTTTCATTTTTGGTTAGCTGTATCTGCAGGAATAAATTTAATATGGTTGTAATTGTTCCTATGTATTTTATGGGGTTGCCAGGTCCCCTCATTCATCCAGTAGGGGATTAGGGGGCATTCCAGGGGTGGGTGGGGACATCACGTGATGTGATGATGTCACCTGGAAGTGACATCATTGTGTTGGCGACACCAGGTTTTTTGGTGAAACTCTGTGGTAGATTCGCCCTCAAGCCATAGAGTTTTGCCAAAAAACCAGAGTGTCCCTTACACAATGACATCACTTCTGGGTGGCATGATTGCATTGGGGACGTTGCATAGTGCCATGCAATGCTCTCGCTAAGCTGTGAAGTCTTGTGAGCAGAAATTCTATTTTGTGAGCTACTGGCATTAAAGTTGTGAGTGAGCAATTTGGCTTTTGCATAAATTAATTTGCTCTGGAGCCATCCTTCCTGAGCTAAGACAAAAAACTGTGAGCTTGAGGCTAAAAAACTGTGAGCTAGCTCACACTAACTCAGCTTAGAGGGAACACTGGCGCTGTCCCTGTTTAGTGAGAGCCAGTTTGGTGTAGTGGTTAAGTACATGGACTCTAATCTGGGAGAACCAGGTTTGATTCCTCACTCCTCCACTCTCAGCGGCTGGATGACCTTGGGCAAGCCATAGTTCTGTCAGAGGTGTTATTGAAAAGAGCAGTTTCTGGCAGAGCCCTCTCAGCCCCACCTACCTCACAGGTTGTCTGTTGTGGAGAAGGGAGTTTGTAAGCTTCTCTGAGACTCCGAGGGAAGGGCGGGGTATAAATCCAATCTCTTTTTCTTCTTCTTTAGGGGAGGGGTTTCCCCCTTTGGCCAGCTGGTCCATGGTGGGGAAAAGCCCCCAAAAGTGGTGTTAGCCAAATTGCTTTATTTACAGCAATTGGCAATTTATAAATGGGTTCTTGCCAGTTTATACCAAGGTCCTGTTCCCACCAAGTGTTACCAGTAAAAGATTCGAGGCGGTTGCAGTTTAAAATAGATGTCTTTTACTTGAAAATATATCTCATACAAACAATACTGATGCACTCACACATTCAATCAAGTTCCTCAGAATCACAGTATTAAGCACTTTTGCATTAGCAGGTAGGGGTGATGGTGGGCGATACTTATCTGTCTCACAGCTTTGGTTGTTCCAATGAACAATGGATGGGAAGAAATGTAAACTAAAGGGAGCTCACACATGACCAGAACCAGCCAGAACGTGTGGGTCTCTTGACTGCAGATCAAAAGATCAAAGTAGAGGCAAGGGTTTGGGGATAGCAAGTGGGACTTAAGAGGAGTAAAAAGCAGACAGGGTTGTTGCGGGGGATGCTAGCTAGGAAGGGCCAGGTGAATGGTCCTTACCTTTTATAGTGGATCCATTAGTAGATGAGTGGTAGCTGTTCCAACCTGTGGACCCACCTACCTGTTAGTCCGTCCCAAAAACAATCCTATTGGTTGTATGTGGAAAGGGGAGGTTACCTGAGGGGGTGGCCAATATTGTAACCTAAAACCTTACTCAGAGTATGGCATCTGGACAGGTGTGAAAACCTTGGCGTCAGGAAGCTCCATTGTAGTGTTGATGAAGCTGGCCATTCTCATTGTGAACCAAATGTTCATTTGGCAGGAAATACCAATGCAGGAACAAAGCAGTGATGTGTCGTACGTGACCACAAGTGATTTTGCAATGGGGGCTGCCTCTGCTCAAGTTTTGTTTCTTACTGCTCACAATAATGGAGGTGTGTGCTTCTTCACTAGGCTGGTAACTGTATAGCTGAAACCTTATCTACATGTGTAAGGCTTGTGCAGGCACCTTCTATGTGTAGTATCACAACAGGTGACTTATAGTGTACAGTCTTCTGAGCCTATGTGTGTGTGTGCACAGTCCATTGTGTGTGTAGCAATAAATATAGTCCATAAAGCAAAATATCAAGTTCATTCTCTAACAGTGGGGGATCCTCCACTTGGACCTGAAGGCTGGCAACCCTAGTATTTAAAGCAATTGTGTTCTTAGATAGTTGAATGTTTTTTCTGTAATTCTGTCACTGAGAGTGATTTTGTCAATCACTGTTGATAACTATTAATTGATTGCTGATTTCAGTGCTCTAGATTTTAAGGGAAACTATTTTGAAGCTGAAATGGAAAATTAAGAAATGTCTGTTTTTGTGTTTCATAATTTATATTTGAGAAAGCAAACTCACACCTTCTTTTTAGTTTCAGTTAGTATTGCTCTTTGATGTATTGATAGAATTTATGTGCAGCACATTTGGTATAGTTGCAGAGTAAGGGTTGCAGGTGCTTCCTTGAGGGTAATAAAGTCAGACTGATGCTTTTCACTATTGTTAGTATATTGTGTTATGCACTTGGATTTAAGTTTGAGGTTGGGTGTAAGTACAGATTAATGATACGATTGTTTGAAATTTGTAGATGTTACACTTTGATTACTGTTTGTTTTCTTCTAGTATCCCCTGAGGCAGTCGGATTTCTCTCAGCAGTTGGAGTGTTTATTATCCTGTTGCTGATTCTTTTTCTGTATATTAACAAGAAGATGTGTTTTGAAAATGTTGGCGGCTTCCCAGACATCAGTTCACAATACAATACAAGAAAAAATTCACAGGACAAGCTTTGTAAGTATAAAAAATACTTTGTTAGTCCTTAGTGTGCAATATCATGTGAATAATGTTATGGAAGTGTAATAATTTGGCTAGAGTAAGGGAATTTGTAGAGTACTAATATTATTTGTGGTGGTTAGTCAGAATTAAATTTTTACATCTGGGAGAATTGTGATGACTCATGGAGGAAGGGAAATCCCATCTCCCCTGGCAGCTCCCATTTCTTTCCCTCCTGTTCTGGATCACACAAAGTAGAAGAAGTATAGGAGTATACTGATATTTTTATATTGTCTACATTTACCATTTTATGACCTGATGCATTATGTTATGGCCTATGGCTAAGACAATAAACTTATATTTATACTACTGTTCTGGGTCCTTTCCTCTCCCCTTCCCATGTTCCATAGGCCCATCTCCCTGTTTCCCCTCCCTCACCTACCAATTTTCAGGTTCCCCCCCAAACTCACAATTACTAGGCTACCCAAGATGTTGGTTGGTTTCTTTTTGCAACCTCTGCACAGGCACATGTGTTCTTGCTGCATTTTGAAGGAGTTTGGGGAAGTTAATTCTCTATTCTTAGCTTTCATATTTTTCTGCAAATTTGTTTTTTATCTATGTGAGAAAACCACCCTTTATTATTAGATATATGATGGGAGTTGTTTAATTTAGTTCAGGGATTTACATTTTTCAATGTAAAAAGAAACAAATAATTTGAACCATCCCAAATCCTGTTAAGAAAAAAATTATGATTAATTAGATGACCACCTTTCTATTAATATGTAGCATAACCTGGAGAAGTTGAATTTTTCCAAATATAAGGGAGTGGCTTCTAATACTTGGTAAAATGGCATTTTTGTTCTACTGTGGGTACAGTCCACTATGTATTGAACATAACGACAAGATGCCCAGTGGTTTCAACAGAACTTGGTGACATTCAGTGACTGCAGCTTAGTGTAGAGTTAAGCAAGCGTACAGCTATTCATTTAACTGTGCTTAAGGGTTGATTGTGGCCATGGCTATAAAATATTTTGTCTGTGTGAACAAGCAGTTATGAACAAATCCCATGTTTAAGTATACTGTACTTGGTTATTAGGAAATAGAATATAGAGTACGAGAAGTTAAGCAAGATACTATTCTATTGTGACACAATTTCTATTTATTTATGGTATATTATTTAAATGTGTTTTTCTTTGCAGGTGTAGGATAAAATGTCCCACTTTCCATACAGCATTTTAAATACTCAGTTTTGTTGTGGTTAGCTGATTATGAGTTTTACCATAACACTAGAAAACTTATATAAAGCAGCTGATTCTGGACTGCGGGTGTGGTCTAAAATGGCCCTCTTTTCATATAGTATTTTAAATAGTTACTGTTGAAATACTTAGTCATTGATGAGCTTTAATGTAACATTGCAAAATGTATATTTTCCGGATTTTTATAGAAGACATTTTGTCTAGTTTATTTACAGTGACAGAATTAAGAGAAGTAGTGGTTTAAATGATAGGATACAGGACAGCAAACCTAAATATCATTGAACCTGAGGAGTGACACATTCAGAAACCAGAAAATCTTTTTCTTCTAAGATACTTTTATTATTAAACAATAGAAACATGGCATTTTTCAAAAATTTTCAGCAAAATCTGAACCTTCCTTCTGTGTCTTCTTTGGTTGACACCTTCAGTAATGCTGTAGATGATCTAACCAGTGCTGTTGGAGATGTAAGCTATACAGTAGCTGATTCAGTTACAGAGCAGGTAACAAACATGATCAACAGTCTTCGAACAGATGAAACTGCTAAAACACAGGAAGATAAATCTGAAGTGGGTAAAGAGGAAAATAGCACAAATAATGACATAGGAAAGTATATGAGAGAAACAAAGTATGACTCAGAAGAGAAGCATAAACAGTCTGATTATTTAAAACAGAGTATGTATGGTAGAGGAGAAACCTATCATGGCATAGACAAAATGCAGAGACAGTTAAATGCTACAGAACCTAATGAACTTAATGATTCAGAAGTATATAGGGATATGAATAATTCAATCAAACATGGTAAACACAAAAGACAAACAGGAAATAAGTACGTAGAAAATACATTGCCAAAAGATACTGGTGAGAACTACGGTACATGTAGAACTGAAGAATCCCTTCATGAAAAACCTAGTAAGAAACTGTATCCAGAGCTAGAACAACCTAAGGACCCGTTGCAGAGGAAAGTTAAAAAAAAATCACCAGAAGTTGATTTCATGGATGCCAAAGAAGCTCAGAGTATTGTATCAAAGAATTTAGAAGCAAATGAAGTGCAAACATCAAAATTGCCAGAACGAAGGTCCAAAATAGTACATGGTGTTCATGAAGTAAAATCTAAGAAACAGAAAACAAATTCTGAATACCCCAGACAGTCTGTAACAAACCAGAAAGAAAATGCCTCATCTACTCTTTCAAAGGAAGTTGCAAAGCAAAAGCATAAAGAATCAGAAAGTTGTTCTAAAGAAGTGAGTAGTAAGAAGACACCAGCCAAAGGTGAGGTGTCTTTTATCATATTTAATCAATTTGACCTTTCCTGGATCTTTTACTACATACTTCTTTTCTAAACTATTTTGTAGGTTTATAGATTTCTATTATATAAATCTATAAAACAAAACTGTGTGGAATTTCTTTAAGATTTGTATATTTTTTCTTTGAAATTTGATTTTCCTAATTAGCTATGAAATATGTCTCTGTCCTAATTGATGCCACTCATTTTAATAGCTTTTATTCATCTACCTTTTTCATTTTTTCCTGCTATTTTCTGAGTTTGCTGGATATTTGTGTGACTTATGTTGGATTATGAAGACTGTTTTTGTAGATAAGTTCTTGAATGTCAAATGTTTGCATGAATTCCTTCACCATTTCAGTGGATCTGGATGTGGTGAGTTGTTGAGTTCAAAAGAAGATTTATGAGAAATAATATCTGGAATTCTAATATGTTTTGAGGTATGTAGGTCTTGTAAAACAGAAATAACAACTTTTTTGCTTTCTATGATTTTTAATTTACAAGCCATTTACAAGACTCCATAGATTAAACAAGATTATACCTTTTAAAATGTATTCAGTGAGATAAACAAACTGTAAATAGATACATCCTCAAGAGTCAGTGAAATAAATGGACTATAAAAATACATAATACAGATACTGTGCTAAACAGTGTATCTTCTAGAATTACTACTACTGCATAATTACTACTGCTGCATAATATTAATTAATATGTAACTAAATTGCTAAATCATCAAAAGCTCATCATTAATTAAGCTAATCTATTTATACCTCAAAAGCTTATTCTCAATAATCCGTTAAATGTAAACATATAACTCCATTATTGAGATCTAGTATTTATTGTACGTGCAAATTATACTTGTTGCTGTATACTGTCTTCTGAGCTTTTATTTACATTCTATGTATTTTGGTTTTAATTTTAAATTTATTGTGCACTGTGTAATAAATAGTTGTATTTTATTTCATGTTTTAGCTGCTCAACCTTTAAGGTTCCTAACTTGATTTTCCATTTGGATCTCCCCCCCCCCCCCCGTTGTTTAATAATAATTTCCCCCTACACTAACAACAGAGGCAGACTTTGGAGAAAAGGTATATTGTCATGTTTTCTCTGGCAAGAAAATAGCATACATAGCATACATATCATGGAGCCATATTGTGACAAAACAGATACCAAATGATACCTTAAGGACCAAATAAATTTATTCCGTATAAGCTTTTGTGAGTCTGGCCTTGCTTCTTCAGATCCATTTGAAGTGAATATTTTTTTTTGCACAGAAATCATAGAAGGGAGGGGAGTTGTAGAAAGGAGAGACCTGCTACAAATCATTCAGGTGTAAGTCCCTGTGTAATGGACTGAAACAGAAATGGTTGATATACAGTGCAGTCCTGAGGGGGGCTAAAACACTCAACAGGCTGCTACACTGGAGTATCACCGTGATTTGCTGGTCCAAGCCAGAGATATGCTGGCAACCCAGTGCCACCACTGCTGAGCACTGACACAGCAATGCTATCATCTCCAGCCTGCGTACTAGCAGCACAACCCCCTGTTCTGGTGGAGTGGGTAGGTCCTTGGGCATGGCAGGATCTTGAAGTCATCCCAGCCCAGGAATGCTCCATGGCAACAGTGTAGAATTATTTCTGCAAAAACTGTGGTGTAGCCCATAGGTGTCCATTCAGCTCAGGAAGGGCAACCCCCCCACCCCAAGCTGCCATTCCTCACCTTCCTGCTGCATCCAGTGCTGGTCCCCAGCAGCTAATATAAAGCTTAGTCTGTATGTGGGCAATCCAGATGTTAACTTGCATAGCACAGGACTATTTTGGTTTGCTTTGTGACCATGGAACATCTCACAACATAGTAGTTGCTCGAACACACACTTGAGGAATGGGTGTACCATACAAGAATACAATTCACTGACCAGGTACAGTGTGGGGGGAAGCAGCCACAGAGGGCCATCAGACCTCAGCAGACCTGATCCACTCAAGGAGGGTGTTTCCTGCTACCAGAAGAGTCCACCCAGGTTTTTTTTGGCAGGCACACCAACCCAGAGTAGCCAAGGCAGCAAGCTGCTACCCAAAGGCAGAACTCTGTGCTAGCAGTCACAGCATGGATGGCCCAGTACAGAGCAAGGGTAGTGCAAGTCCCTCACTGATCCTCCACCCACACCCCTATTCCTCTCCTCCCTGTTTCAGCCAGGGGCCATGGCTGCACCTGAGCAGCTGCAGCAAACAGCCCATGGTGGCACAGTGCTGGCTGCCACTTACCATGGCCCCATAAGGATGCCATTCTATGCCCCACCCACTGCCAAGCTATCACCCCTGCAGAGTGTTTGGGGGGGGGCATTCAGCTGACCCTAGATCTCATTTGACAGATTGGCCCGCATGGAATGCTGGCCCCAGGTCCACAGAGATACACAGGGCCTGGTGACCAGGTGTACAATTCCATTGGTGCATCACTGTTGACATGTTTCTTCCTCAGGCAGACCCATCTAGTGATCATCTCTATGCCGATCAGTTGGTATCCAGAACCATCAACATATACCCCTAGAGCCCCCCCCCCCAAAATGAGCGGTCAGCCCTCTGACACAACCCAGCCCCCCCAGGAAGTGCTGTGCCTAGGTGCTGGGCATGGCCCAAAACCAGGCCAGGTGGGAAGGGGAGGTGGGGCCCAACCCATGACCAAGAACACAGGATACAAACATCACTAAATAACAAACTTTATTGTGAACACATGAACAGCAAAAAATCTACAGTAATCACAACACAGGCAAAACACAGATCAGTTTGGTGTAGTGGTTAAGTGTGTGGACTCTAATCTTGGAGAACTGGGTTTGATTCTCCACTCCTCCACTTGCACCTGCTGGATGACCTTGGGCAAGCCATAGTTCTGGCACAGCTGTTCTTGAAAAAGAGCAGTTTCTGTCAGAGCTTTCTCAGCCCCACCTACCTCACAGGGTGTCTGTTGTGGGGAGGGAAAGGGAAAGGCGTTTGTAAGCCACTCTGAGACTCCTTTGGGTAGTGAAGGGGGGAGTATAAATCCAATCTCTTCTCTTCTTCAAAATAGCAATGGACAACACTGCTCAAAGGGAATGATAGGGTACATGGGCTCCCCCCTTGATCTGGGGGCACTGGCTACCATTCCCTGTAGCACCCATCTCCTGGAGTTCAATGAGAAGATCAGGGAGCCTGCCTATGGTCCTGGCAAGCTGGTACAGATGTCCCCTTATGGCCTCAAGGCACATAGGCAAGCTACTAGTGGCAGGCCTGTGACAGGCTTCAGGAGGCTTCTCATGCCGCTCCAGGGAATGCAAGAACACTTGTATGCTGGCCACCTGATCCAGCTGGGCCTTCATCTGATGCAGGACTGCTAGCATAACCATGAGCCTGTGGGGAGGAAAGGAGGGATAATTGGAACATAGTTGCCCCTGGCCCAGGCTACAAGTTGTGGCCAGCTGACAGATGGGCACAGTGAGGGACCAGCCGCTACCCAGCACTCGCATGGGGCACATTCACCTTTGATGGGATGGGGGATCAGCATTGTGTCCTGGTCTGAGGGTATGATGTCCTCTATGAATGCCTTGGACCCTCTGCTGGTCATGTGGGGGGTGTAGCACTGGTACCACCCTGAGTAGGGAGCCATCCCTACCCACCTGACCCTCAGATGCAGTGACATGGGCAGGTGGCATGGGTCAGAAGTGCCACAGCGCTTTTGGGATGCAGGTGTATCTGCCCCATGTCACCTTCCCTGCTGCCAAATGCGTTCCTGGTCCCACTCCCACTCAGTAATGCCCTGGATGTTCTGGCCCACCCCTGATGCCTCTAACATCCCATCCCTCATGTCCCCATCCTAAGGGGCCTCAGATAAGGTGGTGGCAGCTGCTGCCAGACAGCCATGTTGTGGAGCATGGTTATGCCCCAGGGCTGGGGCAAATAACAGAAGCCCATCCCTCCCCAACTTCTCCTGGTATTTTCCCGGGGCGTAGTCTTTGAGGCAGCTGCCCTGCGGTTGGTTGGTTCCTCCCAGTTCATCATAGCCATGCTGTTGTGCCCCTGTAACATCTTGTGGACACGACAGTGTGGTGGCTGGGGACACCAGCACAGTCACTGCCCATGTAACACAGCAGGGTTGTTTGTCTGGTCCCCTGCCTGTCCAATCTCCCCTTAGGGAACAGACTAGTGGCGTCGCTGTTGCACCACCATCTGCCACCTCCACCACAGCAGCCCTCAGGATTGTGCTGCCTATGAATGATGAGAGAGATCAGAGGTTCCAGTCCCCCATAGTGCACAGTTACAGACAGATAAATTCTAATCCAAGAAGGCACGATATGAAGCATAAGACAAGGATTACAGTGTGATACAGCATAACATGATCACAGCATGATAACATGATCACAACATGAAAAAGAACTGATTGACTTCTCTGAAGTGTGGGTCCTACTGAACAATTAACAAATATAGTGCATTAGGAAATCCAAGTCTCTAAATAAATAAATAAATATTTAAGCCGGGTGGTGATATAGTATTTGACCTGTTGATGAGTTCTAATTTAGTACTTCCATGTTGGATTCACCTTTTGGAGATTTTTGGGTCCCCCCCCCCCAATTATATTCTTTAAAAAAAGATTTTCACTGTGTACTAAAAAACAGGCATAAAAATAAAATAATTATCACACATTTGTATTTGCTGATGGATAATAAGCATAATAGAAAGCTAGTGAAGCTATAAATCCAGGTTAATTTAATCACTGATTTATGTGGAAATAAATGTAGCCATGATGCTATTAATCCAAAATACAAAACATGTAAATGACTGGATAGACATTCATATCAAACTGTAGAAGAACATTATTCTGTGAATCTGATGTTCTTTTAAAAGACAAAGAAAGTTGAATGATAGGAGAAGGGAATGGGAGACAAAGCAATGCCATGTTTGGGAAGAAAAATACCATGCTCTCAGTGAGTTACAGCTGAAGTTAAACATTTAGAAACAATGTATTTACCTCTTTAAAAGCTTTATGGTTTTCTAGTTAATTGTGATGCTGTACTTATTTGAAATTTGACCTGCCTAAATCTTGTTAAAATATGAAAAGTTGCATTGATACTTGAAAAATCATTAATCCTTGAAGTTGTTACCACTCTTCCTTGTGGTGTCATATGTTGTCTTGTTTTTTAACTTCTTTTTTATATAGACAATTCATACATAAATAAAGAGCAGCATGGTTCATCATCTGAAAGTGAAGATGAGGCGCTGGGTAAATACCATGAAGCCTTGTCCAGAACTCAGAGTTCAAGGCCACCAGCTGGAGATAACAGACAACAGAAAAACTATATTTGGGAAACCAGACAAAAATATAGTCCTCTGTCCGCAGAGTATGATGGGTACAGTAGTGAAGCCTCAATAGATGAAGGTATGACTTATTTTACAATAGGTTTTACTTCATTTTCTTTCATATTTATCCAATAGAATTATAATGGTAATACAATTGCAAGACAGAAATTCTAAAGCCACCAGTAACATCTAAAATCATGAATATGCCTTTTGAAGTAATCAAGGTTCACTGAGAAAATATTGAACTTTAAAGAAACTTTTCCTTTCATACTGCTTTGTATGTAGAACAGTGGTTCTTCCAAGGGGTTGGGTCCAGACCAATTGGCAATTTCTACTGATTCCTCATTCTCACTGCAGACCCCGCTCATATCTTTCTGTAGGAGCAGCATTCTGTGGACATCAGTGGGCTATAGTGTCGGGGGTGGGGGTGGGGAATAGGCAGGAATGTTCCATACCACTGATAGAAAATTTAGTCTGGATCCAGCCCAGGGATTTTTTTACCTGAATATCAGAATTGTTAACAAAATATTTTCTCACACTATGTGAAATCCAAGGTTTATAGAAGTCCTCAGATCATAAATGAGGCAAGATGTCTGTATTAACTCTGAAAATGCATGTTTTGATTACTGGAATTGTTAAGAAGTCATTGTTGTCATAGATCAGGGGTGGCCAAACTTGTTTAATGTAACAGCTACACAGAATAAACATCAGATGTTTGAAAGCCACAAGACATAAACAAATATTACACACATGTTTTTATTGGAAAATATGCAAATTTGCTTTTTATTAACATTAAATTAGACTTTGTGAGAGAGCCACATGCAACTCCCAAGCTGCAGTTTGGCCACCCCGTCATAGACTAATTATTCTAAAGTTGCAGTCCTAATGACATTTTCCTTGGAGAAAGACCCAGTGAATAATATGGAACTTACTGCCAAGTACAGCTGTTTAGGATTGCTCCGTAATAGTGCATATGTTAATTTACCATGGATCAATTAGGAAAATATGTCTGCTTAAAACCCTATAGCCATTTGGATTCTAGAATACTCACATTTCAGAAATATAATTGTTTAGAGTTTTGTAATCCCCTGCAACTTTATTTTAAAATAATTTAACACAGAATAGAGAAAAGGCTAATTATTTGAATGGTAGCTAGGACAAAGACTGGGGTGGGTGGCCAGTGGCCAGCCTATTCCTCCGACTCCGGCATGCCTCCTCAGCTGCTCTGGTGCCCTACCATTGGCTCCAGGTGGGGGGAGGAGCCCTTTCCTGCTGCTGTTCATCCGCCCCGCCCAGCCTCCAGCCAGCTCTCTCCCTTCCCCTCACCTGGCCCAACAAAATGCAGGCCTCATTCTGCTTATTTGAATGGTGGCTGGGTACCTTTATTAAGACATACATTGAGCAGGTACCTTGCTGGGGTATTATCATGCTATGAAGTGGAAAACCATTTATTTTTCTTTAATGTGTGCCCAGATGCTCTTACATTGATGCAAGAATGTTCTGCTTTAACAAAAGGCACCATGCACTGTAGGGACACCCAAGAACCAATAGACTGAAATGGTAGGATCCACCCCTAAATTTAGGAATAAAGCAATCAGGCTCTTCCATTAATTTCAAAAGAGAATTAAAAAAAAGACAAGAAGTCAATCTCTTGACCATCATGGAATTATTCTGGGTTTTTCTACTCTCATTTTTAGTGCTTCCTCCTAAGGATATTGTGTCTTCTGCTGATTGATAGTCTTTATATTGTATGTCATTTATTTAAGATATTTTTGTGCCACTTTTTTAGAGTCCTTCTTGATGAGTCTTCCAAGCCTCACAGCCAATCTCCAATTCCTTAGCATTTGGTCTGCCCTGTGGCAGAGTAGTAATAGACGGAATCATTCTTAATAATTGGGCTGGGTGAGAGCTTGCAGACACAATCGTGGCCGCAAAATATTCTTTCTTAGCGGCTTTGACTGCCATCTCCTAGGATCTCATAAACGTCCTATAGGATGCTCTTGTAGTTTCGTCGTGAGCATGCTGCCACTGTCTCTCTAGCTGTCTGAGCCCTCTACATGGGGCTGCCCTTGTCCCAAATCTGGAAGCTGCAGCTGGTGCAGAATGTGGTGGCCAGGCTGTTGTTGGGCCTCCCTATGTGAGAGCACATCCAGCCTGTGCTAAAAGCATTGCACTGGCTGCCTATAGCATACTGGATTCAGTTCAAGATGCTGGTTCTTACCTTCAAAGCCCTATATGGTCATGGGGCTACATACCTAAGGGACCGTGTTTCCCCACATGTTCCCCAGAGAGCACTACGATCGGGGTCCCAAAACCATTTGGCCCTTCTGGGCCTCAGAGAAGCCAGACTGGCTATGATGAGGGCCAGGGCCTTCTTAATGGTGGCTCCGTACTGGTGGAATGAGATCCCAGAGGACATCAGGGCCCTGCGGAACCTTTTACAGTTTTGTAGGGCCTGCAAGACAGAGCTTTTCCACCAGGCCTTCGATTAGGGAGCCGCACCCAAGAAACTTAGGCCCTGGCCCCAATATTAACATCATTATCAAAAGCCTAATATAACACAGACTTGATGTTAGCTGGAATTTGCCTGTGGATGCTGCTAATGCCCACCATCTTGATACAAACTGTACTAGCACTTTATATTATATTATGTTTTATAATTGTATTGTTATGATTTTACTCAATTTTGTTTTAGCTGTTTTATATACTTCATGTAAGTTGCCCTGAGCCTGCCTTGGCCGGGAGAGCAGAATATAAATTTAAATAAATAAAATCACAACAATATTAAAAACAAGCTATCAAAACAAGCTACTGGACATAAGCAGCATAAAAACTGTCCATAAAACAAAAATAGGCCATTTAAAATTGATAAGATAAAACCCTTAATTAAAAGCCTGGGTAAAAAGATGTGTTTTAGCCTGCTGCCTAAAAGCAAGTAAAGCAGAAAGAAAAAATTCTATAAATTTGCAGAGCATCACCAACTCAAAATAAATACATTTGGGAAAGTCCCTTTTATTCCATGTAAGCTCTTTGTGGACAAGTGATTTGTGACCCTTTAAGCAAACATTAATATGTGCCTTTTTGAAGTGCCTGGTAAACCTGGACTCAGCTTTACTCATGTTAGAATAATGGCAAGGATATCATCAGCTTTTTATATATGCTATTGGCTGTGTGGCTGAAAAACTTTCCAAAGTTCTCATTCACTGAAGTAGTATTCCCCAACTGCCATTTCAAGTGTATAAGGATTATGTGCTAGGTAACTATTACTGAGGAGCTGCGGTGGCTCAAGTGGTTAAGACGCTGAACTGCAGGCTGTGGAAGGTCAGTAGTTCAGCGGTTCAAGACCCGGGTGCCGCAAGACAGGGTGAGCTCCTGTCTCTAGTTCCAGCTCCTGCCAACCTAGCAGTTCGAAAGCAAGAAATTGCAAGTAGATAAATAGGGACCACTTCGGTGGGAAGGTAACAGCGTTCCGTGCGCCTTGGTATTTAGTCATGCCGGCCACATGACCACGGAAACGTCTTCGGACAGCGCTGGCTCTTCGGCTTTGAAACGGAGATGAGCACCGCAACCCTAGAGTCGGATTCGACTGGCTTTCGAGCAAGGGAACCTTTACCTTTACCTAACTATTACTGGGAATAATCTACTGATTTCCTGATATACCAGTTTCCAGGGGTCGTTTCGTAGAAAAAGAGCTAGGGGAACTCATTAGCATAACTCATTAGCATATGCCACACCCCCTGACATCACCGGAAGTGTGTCGTAAGGCCACACACCCCGCCCCCAACAGTCCCGGCCGCCGCCACCAGCCTTGCAGCTCCACTGCCCCAGGCAGGCAGGGGTGGGGAGAGGCAGGGAGGAAGCAACTTACCCTCCCTCTTCTCCTGCCTCCTCCTGGCTGAATGAGGGCCGGAAGCGGGGCGGCCAGAAGCAGGGGGCGGGGCTTCGTCATGTGCCCCGCCCCCATACCTCACCTGGGGGAACTGCGATCCCCCGCGATCCCCCCCGAAATGACCTCTGCCAGTTTCTGTATTTTCCTGAAAGTGGTCCTCTGCTAAAAACTAGATGAGGACTTCAGTTTCGAAGTTTCAATGGAACTTCAGTGTTTAGAGTTGCAGTCTTAAAAGAGTTTTCCTTCTTAGGCCCAGGGCTGCATCCACACATCATACAATATTGTGCTATCATTGGACTACAGCAGTCATTTCCTATTGGATTGGATTGTCGACACTGGAAGATCCAGTTATAAATAACTGCAGATGATAGCACAATAGTCAATGATGTCTGGATGCATGCCAGGCTTCCTTGCACTTTTGTTTTTGCCACTAGCAAGTAGTCATGTTGTTCAGTTATAAAAAAAAGGTTTGTTTTTTCAGCAACGAAGGGTTTTGTTGGCAAACAGAAATCAAAGCTCTTACTGTGTGAATGATACTATACTGATAATATGCCTCTGGCCGATTTACACTAAAAATCTGCTCACACCAGCAGTCTGCTAGTGTGACCAGTGCAGAGAAAAATTTTCTTAAAGAAAATTTGCAGTTGGTTTTAAGCTTTTCATGAAAGTGAACTCATGAGTTTCAGTGGAGTTCACAGCTCTACTGTATGCTGCTTATGCCGTTAGACGATTCACATGACTAGATTTTTAAAAATATAAATTGGTTGATGTATTTTTTGGAATTGACTCTCTTATGTTAGAAGCACCAGTGTAAATGTATTTAGGCTTATTTCTAAAATAAGAAACATTTGAAGTCTTATTAAAATGTATTACAAATAAATTTGCTTTGAATGCAGGAAAATTTAATGAAGACTGTTCATGGTTGCATCTGATCCGTGAAGGAGGGAATTCTGCACATCCTAGGACTTTAGTGGCAGAGAAAGCAGAAACCAGCAGGCCATAAAAGAAACTAACAAACACTACCAGCCACTTCATGAATGTTTAGAGAAATAATATATTGAATATTTGAAGTTTCTATCGTAGAGGAGAAGTGAAGAACATTTTAGACTTCCGATACCAAGAAGCATTTTAGACTTTCAACATAAATTATGTTGAAATATACATTTGGGGTTTAGAAAAGTATCACTGCA